GGTACTCGACCCCGTTTTGGATAGGTACGTGCCGCCAGCGGTCTAAATCCCTTACCCTGTTTAAGACACTAAAAAGTAAAAATTCATACCCTGTTCAAGACAAATCGAAAAAATAAGGAATAGCTACGCCGCAACCATCCAAACTGCAATTATACTGACATCCATCAAAGACAATAAGAAGTTTTTTATAACACGTTAATCCTGGGACAGTGAAACGGTATTTCTACTAATTCTACGGTATTTCTTATGAAAATATTACCCTGTCCAAGACACACAAAAAAATTGTATCGGTCTTCCCGGGGTGAAAACAAACACCCTCTATGCGATTATGAAATGAAATTTTTCACTATTGGTTAAAACATTTTGTGCATTTTGAAGAAATATTCAGAGGAATAATTTTCGCTCTGTATTTCTAGTATTTCTACGGTATTTTTTATGAAAATATTACCCTGTCGAAGACGCACAAAAAAATTATATCGGTCTTTTATCTAAATTGTAGAGCCTGTTTAAGACAATTTCGGGTGAAATGTATACCCTGTTTAAGACAGCAAGGCCAAAAACCATACCCTGGCCAGCGGCACGTCCCCGTATAGCAAATATATGGGAGTAACCCCCAGATAGATACCTCTATTCCATATATTGTGGCCAATTGAGCCACATATAAACACTGATTATCAGAAGGACGGAGGCAGTAGATTTGCGATAAGACTCGATGAAAATAGCTCAATTTGATCGTTGAAAAAAAAAAAAAAAATCGTGCACAAGCAAGAATGACCCGATCTGCACAAAAAAAGCTACAAAACATTGAATAGTCGATTATCAATCTACAGAACAAGTTTGGTTTGGGATGTTTAACTCAGAAACGAAATATCATTTGAAAACGTATCTCTTTCCCCATCGCCCTTTTGTAATCTTGTCTGTCCTGATTACCCATAATTCATCGTCAAGCGTAAACTCCTCTATTGTAAAGTAATGTAGGCCGTGCGGTGTCTATAGAATAGAAACTTTCAACGTACGGTGTCAATAACCATCTAGCTAGATTACAAGTATCTTACCTAGGGGACACATATTATATATGAGGATTGTATGATGGACTTAAAATTATTCTTATACTTATTATAAGTCTACAAAATCCTGCGTTATAGTTTTCTCGTAAAACACAGGCTATTGTGCTTAAGAGTATGAAAACAGTGCATGACAAGTGGTTTTTCGATGTACCCCGACAAGACCGATCCTCCTAGATTACCAAGGCCAATACCATAGACTGACATTCCCAAAGACAATTCCCTCATTCGATAGTCTTCTTGTTCACCTAATATTACACTAATATTGGTGAACACCGCTTCGCTCCAAAACCCTAAAGAAAACACTAAAATCATTGTGACCCACACATTCGGGAGAAATCTATATATGGAAGCCAGCACCAAGATTATCACGTGACAAATTGTCAAGGCAACCAATGTCCAAGTGCGTCGAATAAGAATCTTATCCGCCCAACCAGGTTTGATTAATTCCACTATACCAAGGTACGCACGTCCAAGGCACAGACCACCAAAAGATGCCATGAGGTAATATTTGTAATGATCTGCAGGAGAAAAAGGAGAGTTTTTGAACGCGATGCTTGTTGTAACACCGCTGACCGCAAGGTCGTTGAATGCGAAGCTCAGAAACAATTGAAGGATTTTTGGTAGAAGAAGACAACTTTGTCGACATTTGGATTTGAATGATAAGTAGTCAGTTTTTTCAAGTGTTTTGGTATCTGTTGTTAAGAAGCTGTTGGAACGGAACTTATCCCGTCGCTTTTCAAGGAGAACAAATCCAGACAGAAATCCGATGGGATGTATCACAAGTGTTATGAGAACGACCTTGGGATGGATTTTAAACCAGCTTGTCATTGCTAAAATAAACGAGGAAAGAGCGTTAGCTAGTTATGGACTATTGATAAAAAATAAAATAAAAATATAGGAGGGATTGCCTCTATATATCCTATATAGTACTAGTGAAAGTAAGAAAAAAGATATTTTACGACACAATTTGCTTAATATAAATAGAATGTTACATGTTCGCTTGGAAATACGTGAGAGATCTTTTCAACACTCGAAGATGAAGTCCGTATCTCCGCGCGCCCATGCAATATATCCTCTATTTATTATATACAAGGTCAGGTAGGCTTAGCCTTGTGCAGCCGATCTTTGCGGTCATGCACGCTCTTTCATCGATCCTTAATATACACCCTTTTAATAAGTCCCGAGGTATTGAATTCTTCGCACTTGACGTCAAATTTATTCTTTAGAAATTTTTACAATACAAAAGGAATTCAAAAGAATAAATTTGACGTCATGTGCGGAGAATACAATACCTCGGGACTTATTAAAAGGGTGTATAGGTAAAGACTTGTGAAATGACACAAAGAAGCTGCTGCAACAGAGGCCACACAAAAATGCATTTTATAAATGTTAAAAATTCAAAGTAATGGAGCTGCTGCACAGAAGACTACTCAGAGTCATATCTCACCTGTATAATATAACGGGCCAATGACATACGACACTCCACTACCAATACAAAAGGCCATGATAGTGACTCGGTCAAAGTAAGCTGTTAACGCTACAGCTGTAACTTCAGAAACGCAGTCTACCGTTCCAACCAGAAAGACTCCAACAAGCTTTAACCACGTGATATTGGGGAGTGCCAAAAATGCTATACCAAACACCATCAAAGGGAAGAACGATACAACGATGATGATGGTAGATACTCGATCAAAAATCCAGGTCACGAAGCCAGTGAATACTAGAAATGGAATGGAGTAAACAACCCATACGACACCTATGATATGTAGAAATAAGTGTATGTGAATAAAATTAGCAACTTGAACACGTGATAAACACTCATTTTTTAGCCGCAAATATCAGATCATTGATGTTCCGGCACAAACACACTCGTAGCGGCTGAGTTAAGCTATTGAATGTTAAAATTGACTGTATTTCAGAAGCGCGTTTTCGAGTTTGTTTTCTTGATGAGCGGTCTTGCATGGGAAAAGTTCAAAATTTGAATATATGTCCCAAGCGTAACGCCTAATCAAGATAACTAATTTTGAGTACTGTGAAAGGTGAAAACTGCCCAACAAAACTACGATGACCTCGTATTTACTTTTAAAATGTTTGTTTTTTGTCATATTAAAGGACTTCAATTACTAATAAAATTAGAAATTTTAGCTAAATTATAGGTTATTGAGAATTGAATGTACGCCATTCAACCGAAACTTTACATACGTTTTCAAAAGTAATTCTCTTGTATTTTAGTCTTGTAAATAAGGTATTTGAAGAACAAACCTGTGTTAATTGTTAATTATCTCTTTATGTAGCCAAAATATAGCAAATAACACTTTTAATAGCCAAAATACTAGTCAAAGTATCAATGCTTTCCTTGAGGAAATCTCACACTAATGAGCTATCTATTACGCATTTCGAGTTAACAAATGAAATGAGCTTACGAATGCCAAGCTTTGCTTCGCTATTTCTCCTCTGTATATTACCTGTTTGCTCTGTTAAATCCTTTTCTAGGATATCCTCGGCAGCAGTTAATACAGCTCCAGCTAGAAAACACACCATAAATCCAAACATACAAAACAAAATTATAGTTTTTGGTGATTCTTTCCTGCTATGTTCAGCAGCGTTTTGAAGACTTTTTTCGGCTGTTTCATCGTTTTCTAGCAGTAAGTTTTCTGTAGAGCTTGCTCTGGAATCGGCCATTTCTCAAAATTACACTATATTTACTAAGAAGAGGCTTGCTTTATGGTCAAGCTTTCGGTATTTGACACACTATTATGTGAAGGATTACCAAAGAAGCTTACTGAACTGTTAAGTATAATGAATGCCTTTGGCCATCACCCGTGACGAAAGAGCCACTCCTTCCTTCATAGAAGAGATTGAATTTATATAATTGCAATACAGACTCGAGATGTTGCTTTGTTTTGATCAAACATATTTAATCTTAACTATGGTCAAACTATATTCGGAAAAATAAGCAACAAAGTTTTCTCCAACGCGCGCGCTAAATCTCATGCATCACCTCATACCATACATGCAAACTTTTACTAAGAAATCAAACATTCAAAACCACATTTTCATTAAAAAGCTCGAAAGTTTAACCCACGCTCGTTGCATATGTTTATTATTTTATTTGAATTGCGAACTTTATGTATAGTTTACAACATGAGCGGCCGTGTTGTATGGGAATTACAATCTCGAGCCGCAGGCGAGAGATTGTAATTCCCATACAACACGGACGCGAATGTTGTAAACGACTTATAAAACTCCAACACAAATTAACATGAATTACAGTGAAATAAATGACGAAAAATGACAAATAAGGTAACTGCTGAGTTTAGTCCCTATTAAGCATGCGCAATTTACTGCAACACAGAACATTTTGAATAATTATCCATCCCACATGGAAAGCAAGCCATCTGTTGCATAAGCCAGTTCTGTTATCCGTCTTTGATTGCTTCAAAACCTAGTGAAGGTCTATGATGCGACACTAAAACTGAGACCTTTGCTAGTGTTGGGTTGTCTCAAGGTGACGACCGTGTTGTAAATCTTATACAACACTAGTGTTGTATCACAGTGTTGTATCTGATTTACAAGGTCAATCACCTGATGAAATGGACAACCCTTATTGGAGTAATAGCTCATGCATTATTAATAAGTTTTATAAGTAATATATACAATATGAGCGGGCGATCTGTATGTAATATACAACTCTCCAACAACAGCCGACCGGTTAGCTCAGTAGGTAGAGCATCGGACTTTAGTGCGGGAGGTCDCRGGTTCAAACCCCGGCCGGACCAACACTCAGGGTCTTAAAATAATTGAGGAGAAGTTGCTGCCTTTGTCTTTCTCCATCTGCAAATGGTAAGATCTTCTCGTCCTCTCGGATAACGACGTAAAATCGGAGGTCCCGTCTCTCTACACTTCACTCACTAACCTGTATTAGAGGGACGTTAAAGAACCCACACCACTGTTCGCATAAGAGTAGGGAATGATTCCCGGTGTGTGTGGCTAGGCCTTACTACTAACCCATACTAATTACTAACCCCTCATGATTGTAAGCCGCGTGGCTGCCAATTGCGCCTTAAACAGCGGTCCGTGTGAAATGATCTATACATGTGAAGCGCCTTTGAACTCAGAGGATATCGGCGCTATATAAATACCACATATTATTATTATTATTCATGGGCTATGATTGCTATTGTGTTTTGCCTTATGAATATTATTGAGTTTTATAATGACATTGAGTGATCAACAACGCGCTAATGACTATTTGTGCAGTTCAACGTGTCGCACTTCATTGCACGAAGCTGCGTGCACGATATTTTCATGCTTTTTCTTTGCAGACCTCTAGCTTTACCTCCAATTCATCTAAAAGTCGCTGCAAAGCTTTCTTTGTCAACACGATTGAGGTAACGTAGCATTGCATTTTATATAAAATTCTACAGAAATCTATCCAAGAACTCAAATAATCAAACAAGTACATTTTGGCGGGCTTTTTTCACTCCAAAGCGCGCAACCTCAGCGCTCATGTAATAGACCGCTGCTAAGCTTATACGTCACATATCGTACACGAAATGCATTGTAGGATATGTTTGGGACAAAACATGGCGGATTTCTTTTATTAGTTTCTAGAAACTGATCCCACAACTCATTGCAAATTAAGTAGGTGACGCAAAAGCCTCAGAAGTCTATTTATAACATCATCTTAGCTGACTTTACTGGTTATGTGGCTTAAATTCATGGACGAAAGACAGCTAACTATAAAAAACCAGAATTTTATTTCAAAGACTACGTCATTACATACAATAATACTCATAGTTACTGCAGCATTGTCTTTGCACTCATTCACCTCCAGGCTGAAAGATAAAAAGACCTGAAAGTACAAGTTTGTGCCATCATCAGAACTCGTTTTACCTGTTAAACCGGTTTATAAACGGCTCTTCATGTGTGCAATGCTTTAGCACCTATGAATTATCAATATGCAAGGTACTGAGCTTTTTATCCAATAAGATTTAGTTATAGTCAAGACCATCGAGAAATCCTTAAGAATTGATTTGTTAGCAAACGTGTCTTAAAACGTGAATATAAAAAAACTCAGGGTCCGTGAGGACTCAAAATATACTGCCAATCAGGTAAAACGCTACTAGTAGTCGCTAAAGAGAATATTGCTAGAGAATGTATGTGAATGTGGCTGTAGAGAATGTATGTGAATGTGGCTGAGTAGAGAATGAATGTGAATGTGGCTGTAGAGAATGTATTTTGACCTAAGCACCACATAACGCAAGACGAAGAAATGACGTTTCTCCAGAATGGCGTAGTTTTGACGTAGGGATTAGTCCATAATGTCATTGATAATTTGGTTGCTCAGTCGCTTTCTTAGTACAGCGGGTACTCCTCAATGAGATACTTGTCAAATAATTTGCATTGTGTCTGTAAGTGCTCGATGTCCGTAGCAATATCTTGAGGGAGGACTGGTGAAGAGTATCGGCGATAGGGCTGTCCTTTGTGATCGATAAGAACTTTTTCGAAGTTCCAACTGACATCATCGTTACGTATTGGAGACCACATGATGGATTTGATATCATCGATGTAACCGTCAGGGACTGGGCAGCGGTTCTATATATGGATAAAGAAATATCGTTGTCATTAAAGTCCCAGTGATGCTTTGCGCGTCTCGCAATAATTTAGTGTTACAATGAAACAATTTTGACAGTTAAAGGGACACTGTCAATGGATGACATGCGCAGTAACARTCTCRCCTCTAACRGACTTTGAAAGTATTACCTTCGAGGAAAATCATTTTGTGGTGCTTTTGACACACTTTGGAATATTCTAGATCTGTTTACGTTTACGAGCAGATTTATGTCGCGCCAACTTGGACTCATAAACTTGAAAACACTAGCCTAATGTTTTCCCGGGGGCGCGGGACTCCCTAATATCAAAGGGCGGGGGTCCTCGGCGGAGATTGTGAAAATGACCCCTAAAAGGGACCTCTATTGTGAGATGATGGGCGTGGCAGTGCTGAAATTTCAACCCTAAAAGGGACCAATCAATAACAGGTCATTTTGTTTTGGTTTACCGATTTTATTTGTGTTTTTACACAATCATCGAACACCGTCGGCTCGTATTGACTCAAACATGTTAAGGCTGGGTATTTTGCCACGATATTCTAAAAAAAATTTAATGAACTAAACTAAACTCACAATCTTTGGTTTTGAGGCATAAATGATAAKTTGRTGTCAAAAATATTTTAAGCATGGTTTAGTYSATTTSYGGTGGTMACGTGACCATAAGGCAAGCAAAATACGTATTTTAAAATGGGGTGGTCAATATGATATAAAACAAAAACCTTTTTATATAGAGTTTTGACACTTATCACCCTTAACATGAATCTGTTTGGAATGATTGTCTACCATTTTTATTTTAAGAGATATTTAACAAAACAGGTCACGTGACTTGGTCAAAATTAAAAAAAAATTATTTTGTACCTAATAGTTCAATGATATCCAACCATTCCAAACAGTTTCTTATAGAGAACAATTTATTGAACAATTCCACTCAAAAATATTTTGGTTTCACATAAATTTCGCCACCCCATTTTGAAAAACATATTTTAATTGCCTTAGGGTCACGTGACCGCCGGAAGTCGATTTTTTCTTCTTCAGAATTTAAAGAAACCTAAGTTACACTTTAAGGCCAAGTTTGAATTTCATAAGATTAAAATTGCTTGAGTTATTAAAGGAATCGTGTTTTTCTAATATCAACAAAATGACCCTGCCTTAACATGCTTGAGTGAGTTCATGACGACGTTGCCATTTTATGACTGCTTACGGTCGCCGTATACCCTAAAAGGGACCACAAAACACAGTTGGTAGGAATTTTTGTCATGATCACCCTAAGCGGGACCAAAATACTGATTTCAAACCCTAAAAGGGACGCCGAGGACCCCCGCCCTTTGATATTAGGGAGTCCTCCCCCCAGGAATGTTTTCAAGTTGTGTCCCTTTAAGATAGCTTTATAAACTTGCTGAGCTTTCAATAAAGCAAGAAATAAAACAGCTATCACTTAAAATTACCGCAGGCAACATATGAAAACGAAACATATATTCGCAAAGCATCCCGGCGAAGTGTCAGATTATTGTGGGCCTTCTCGATCGACATCAGTGTTCTGCATGACCCGTAGCCTCCAATGCAGACTGAGCCACGGAAATGTATGCATTGAGCATAACGTATTGGGAAACATGTAGCAAGAAAAAGAAAACGCGAGAAAAGTGCGAAAGCAACAAATCATATAAAATAAAAAAGCTGAAGCCAATGACATGCCAAAGGGAAGAGCAGTCAAAAATCGATACTAGGTACAAGAAATGAAACAGAATAAAGTGCCACGATTAACAATAGAGAAACGAGCTAGAAAATAGTGACGGATCCAGCTGTAGGCTGCACTAGGGGGTGTACAGCTCCCGAAGCCTATACTCTCGATTCTTGATCTCGTATCTTATTTCATTTGTTATTATTTTCATGGCCGTGTAACCTCTTCTCAGATGACAGGCACCCCTCCCTGACGAAAACCAGGGATCCGCCCCTGAAGATTGATGAATTTAGATTTGGTTGGAGGGGGAGAAGGGGGAAAAGAACTGAAGAAGAAAAAGAAAAAAAAAGAAAAACTGAGAAGAAGAAGCCAGAAGAAAAAGAAGAAGAAAAAGAAGACTTGACTAGAGAAAATTGACAAAAATATAAAAGAATAAAAAAAAGACAAACTGTAAAACCAATGTATCACAGCAGCATACCTTAAGGAACGTAAACAATATATCTTGATCTTTCCCATTCACCTTTAACTTCTGGGTCAAAGGAAAGTTAGGCGTATAGCCTTTACCCGGTCGGACGTACTTCAAACCATTCAAAATCTCAACTTCGGATTCCCCAGGTTCTTGTAACCCGAACTGATTACAAGGAACACCAACTATTTCCAGGGGACATCGTGGGTGCGTTTTGAGTTTATCTTTCAATTCATTAAGTTGTAAGTACTGCATTGTGTACTGTCAAAACGTCGCAACATTTACCACAAGAATGATCTTGTTTTTAAACTGTTTGAAATCAAATGCTTGACTTTCGTCAAGGGCCTTCGTCTGAAAGTCATAAATTGAACCCGACAAACCTGTCTTGCAGGTTGAAATCGACTTATTGGGATTTCCCGCATAAGCGAACGAGAAAAGTCCCATAAAACTCAGAAGAGAGATCGACATAGGGCCTCCCAAGGGCACCATAGCCTCTCTATCTTCGATTATTAGCTCGCTGAGGAACGAACTTGGTGGCTTCCTTGTTTTCTAACAGGTAGCAATGGTCATGATGGTACCGGCCAGCACTAGCCACTAAGATTTTAGGAATAGATAAAGAATTCAGACACCGTAAATAACGTTCGCTTAAATATGAATTACTAATGTTTTTCTTAAGTGTTTTTTCTTCAAGGGTTTTTTTTGACGTGGCATTAGCTACTTCAATGTAACATTTTACTCTTTCGATTTTCACGACAACTTAATATGGTCAAATTTTCGTCTGTTTTTCAATGAGTGTTATTATGTTTTGTTGATGTTTATTCTCAGATTGTTTTTTGATTCTTTTGTTTTTGATATCACTGAAAACTAATTTTTCAAAATATTTTTTTTTCTTAAAATTTTCTCTTTCCAAAATTTCTCTGAATCAAAATAGTGATATTTTGATATATTGATAATGTGTGAAAATTTACTAATGCAGGAGCCTCGTTACGGCCATGCTAACACTGACACTATGTTGCTATTGCACTGTTTCAAAAAGCAAAAATACCGGATAGATAAGAAAATATTTTTCCATCGGACATTCCTCGGCACATTTCCGTAGCAACTCGGATATTCATCACCAGTCTCCCTCCAATAACTCGGTTCGAAAGGATATATTGCAAGGGATGGCCATCTGCTACAAACTCTGTTTATGCGAGTTCTGGGACGCTCAAAAAGATATCTTAGCTTTCCGGTGTCATCGATTTATATAATATGAGCACATTTAAAGCAGGAGAGACAGCTTAGACTTTACAACAGCCTTGGATTTTGGATAGCTGTTGTGTACAGTAAGGGGCGACCCAAGGGGTCTAGTCAAAAGTTACTTCGGCTTTTGCTCTCAGCCCTTCCTGACTAGCTACTGATTTGAGGGAAGCTAGTTGTCCTAGCTTTCACTGTGATAAGTTTTGAGGATGAGGAGATCAAAAGGACGGACCGATTCTCCTGATATTAGTGCAGCTAATCACAATGCAGAGTTGGGTGAAGCGACGGCTTTGCCCACTGCAGATGAGAGCGTGTCTTCGTCAAGCAAAAGGCACGAGACAGAAAATATAAAGAAACAAGTCACAATAACAGTTCAACCTGGCGTCAAACCCAAGCCAACGGTCAAGAAAAAGCGGTCCACGCCGTCTGCAGATTTGGTAAGTTGACAGGCATGTAGCTGTACTTGCAAGCTCGGTGTAATTACATTTGATGTAAGCTTAGTAATCAGACAGAAACGTACAACATTGAATATTTTCTTAACAATCCGGTTTTGTAAGTTATTTTAGTCAGAAACTATTATATTTTATTGCAGGATATTCATAAAGAAATCCAGAAATGCCGTGAAGAGGGTTCAACTCGACTAGATTTGAGCAAATCTGGGGTGAGTGAGTGTGATAACTTCGTTCATTTTGAATTCGAACTTGCAAGTGCCCTTGCTAAATATCAAAGTGTACGCCAAGGACAGCTCATTTTTTTCCCTAATTCCTTTATTGAAGTCTCTATTTTAGCCATTTCCAACGGGCTAATTTTATTAAATGCTCTTTTTCTGTGGCTATTGTGCCAAGGGGTTTATTATTACGCACATAGTGTGACTGAGTTCGTCAATATCGCATTGTGTTTGACTGCTCAAAACGATTCAATAACTTAAAAAAATATAAAATAATTCACGATAAAGATAAGCTTAATACGTTGCACAAACATGCAAATTCATTTAATAAATTGTAGCAGTTCAGAAACATGGAGATCGACTAGTGTAATCGCTTTTGACAGCTTACAGAAAGCTCAAACCGTTTCTCATTTGAAAAATTATTTCTGTGTCAGTGTTGTTCTTACCTAATTGATCGCTTTAGGTCTTATATTTTCGGTATAAAAACCATGTTTATAATGTAAAATGTATACTATTGTCCTTCTAAATTTCATTTTAATATCTTAAGATTTTTATGGGGGGTTGTCCACGCGATGTTTCTTTATTTTGACAAAAGGGAGTCGAAGGTTGTCTTGTCAAAATGCCAAAATTGACAAACTAACTCTACTCAGTTTTTTTTGTCAAATTTTTGGATCCAATGCTTCATATTAAAGTGCATTTTCAAAATGGGGAAAATGTCAAAAACAAAGATAGCTTTAGTACATCCTGTTTTTAAGAAGATAAGATTCCCCATCTTTCTATTTTTAGCACAAAATTTGGTGTATATTTCGTGAAAGTGACATCAAACGCTATTTTACTATTCCCATAAATGAAAACCTTTAATTTGGACACAGTTTTAAACGTTTCCAACTTTATATTTCTTAACATCAACCAATTTAGCCAAAACAAAAATGTACAAAAAATATTATGCATTCAATGGCCCCCAGGTGGATCATTTGCAGGCAAAACACCACACACAAACACCATTTTTAATAGCAAAAATAAAAACCTTAATTTTAGCATATATGTGGTATAGTTTTTTTACAAGTTCCCATGATATTATTGCAATAAAATAAGTAAGTGGATTATGAAAACAAAAAACATGTTTTCCTTTTAAGAGCTTTATTTTACTGATTATCAATGTTTTCTTAGAAATCTAAATCACTTAAGAGAGTTATTTATATTGCAAAAACTCGAAACATACTGGCATTAAGATTTCATTTTGTTATATTCTAACAGAAATATTTATTATTTACACTTGAGTAATGTCTATCAGATACCAATAATCTAAAACAATAGCAAGTAATAAAACACAAATGGCTCCATAAACGTGAGTCTAAGGTCAGGTTTTTACCAAGAAAACTGCACCATAAAGTTTTGTTCTTTTTTAAAAAGTCATTTGCTGCTTGACATCAAGTCAAAAGAATCTAAAATAGTATTCACTTCCAAAATGCCAATTTTGAGATCATCTCTTTTTGGTATATTAAATATTAAGCACCCTTTAAAAGCAATATCCATTATTGTTCAAGACAAATAATACTTCAGCTTTCAAAGGATTAAGTTTTTGTGTATAGGCTGACGGATGAATAAGACTAAGTCATTGTGTCCATGATCTACGATATGTTGAGTTATTTAATGTAATTCACAATAAATTATCTTTTGTTTTGTACAAATTATTGACAAATGATAACATTTTTATTCTGAAGTTACTTACATTTTTTTTGTAAAATTGGTTTGACAATTTGCCATAACATGATGTCAAAAAAGGGTGAAAAAAATAAAGAAAAAATAGACAATCTAAATTCCTGCACCAGTGAATTTCATATACATTTTCAATCATATTAAAAGAAAAGTTAATAATAAAATAAACAGCAAAATAGCATTGTATGTTTATTAAGTGAGTCTTAAGCTAAAAAAATATGGTTTTGTATGTTGAAAAAACTAAATTGTCCTTTTTTCCTCATTTTTGCCTTACTAAAAACCTTGATATAAAACATTTTTTATTGTTTCTTCATTTTTCTCATGCAGAATCCAAATATCTCTTTTTTGTCAAGTATTTTTTTTACTATACTTAGAACACCAATTTTATTTTGTTATTTGCATCATTTCTACTGTTTTTTCCTAAACATTGCATGCCTGAAATGGTAAATGTGTATTTTGTTTTTTTCTTGGTAGAATCGAAGTGCTTTAGAAAGTATGTTATCAAAATAACAGCAAGAAGATTGCGAAAGAAGCTATTTACTTTCTTTATGTTGGTCTGTTTAGTAAAAAACTTCCCTCAGTCAGAAAAGACACTATGATATGCACCCTTGGTCCATGTACCAAAATTTCAGTCACTTTTTCTATGACGGCAAATAACTTTCTATGGTGGGAACTAGCGGTAAACTAGTGTGAGCTGCGTTGGTGTTTCTAAAGAAACAGTTAATTATATAAAAAGATAAATTTTACTATGTAGAAAATTAGGTGAAATAACTTACTGATGTTTTTGATGTCAATCCTTCAAACAGATGAATCTCAAAATCAAAATAAGAAATCATTTATTAATTATTTTAATAATTAAAATTATTATTACCATTAACGGCAATCCCGTAATGTTAATGTATATCTGTATGTAGATAAGATGATACATATGGTAGGGATAAGTATCTTCATAGTCTCATTTTAATGTTAATATCAACAGCAAAAATATCTATTTTCATCTTAAACATCTGTCAATGTCTGCCATAGTCTTATACCCTCAAACCTTATGGCCTGCATTCTTTCTCTTTTCTGCATCTCTACTTTGGAACTCTCAGCCTAGAAGAGACATTCATGACGAGTACAAATTTACACAATCTTTAAACAGCTGTATTCTGTGCAAGAAAATGACTTTCTTGAAATAATTTTAAAAGCTGTAAAAGTTTGATAAATATAATATTTTCTGAAATAGTTTTTTATATGAATGACTTCAAGTGGTTTCTTTGCTCAAATTTAAAATATTACAATTATTGATATTATCGATAGGCAAAGGAAATGGTGTAAAATATAATAAAAGAGTGAAAGTGTTTTGGGTGATTTGATGAATTAATTGTGCTCATATGTGATATTTCACAAGATTATATAATTATGCAGTCAATACTGATCTTGTATGTTGAGTACACTTGGCAGAAATGACACTTGATTGTCACATAGCTCATTAATTAATTTACCAAATGTCAGAGGAACTATAGATTCTTACTTTTAAGGCAAAATGGATGTCCACGGTCTAATGACCTCCATAATATCTCTGATAAAACTGTACTTTCTCCCAGTTAAACCATTGAAAGATTAAAGATTTTGTTGGGTGAATTTAGCTTTTGACAACTGTGGAAAGTATTTTTTGGAACAAAAAGTATTTGATAAAATAATTACACATTCTGTCCAATAAACCATAGCGTCAAGATAGTTATCATAATGTTATTTATGAGGGTATCTAGGTTTTTATAATTGTGGAAATGTTTGTGATTGGTATTATTTGATGAAGTGTTTTTTTTTGCAAACGGCAGAGCGATTTTAATACGTAAAATAAGTTATAAAAATAATATTTTTCATCATCTTAGTCCGTTTTTGTAATGATTGTATAACCAAGAATCATAATATTTATCTTTAATAATTAGCTGTTTTTCTGATTGACATATTGATTGTATCTTGACAGGTTACAGTTTTGCCAAAAGAGTTGAAAGAGGTGTGTATAT